TCCCAGAAGACTGCATTTGAATTCAGTCTGTTTAGAAGTCATGGAGTGTAAAAGATGGGATTAGATAAGACATAGTGCAAAGTTGTATACTATGAAGGGCAGGAGGCTGACTGAAACTTGGGCCAGCATTACATGTACTGTAAGGATAACTGAAGGCTGCATGAAACAGGACCTCTGGTACAGGATTAATTTGAATATTTCCTTTTAAAAGAAATATTCTTTTATGGCCAGTTCAGGGGAGATTCAGACTGGGATTTCAATAGAGGAAAAAGGTTCAGGCAGAGGTACATATGTGGTTCACAGTTCTTTCCTCAAACAGCATGCCCATTGCTGGGAATTCTGGAAGTAGCCAGGGTTGGGGAATTCTGTTGTAGTGTAGTTTGGTCTTTGGTTGAAAAACCACCTTTGGCTAAATGCCTCACTTCCTTCATGTCACAGCTTTGACTCTCTGCCTGCATTAACCATGTGATCAACATAAAACATTCAGCATCACAAAAGCTGTTGGGCAAACTCTAAAGGGGGAAAGATGAGTGCCCTACTTTCTTCCTACAAAAAGGTGACACTGTTTGGAGATAAAGTAAATTTTTTTCTTCTTATTTAGAAATATTTCTAAATATTTCTTATTTAGAAATATTAATCCATGTCTGTTTCCAGCTGGTGCTCTTTAACGTGTATTATAGCAGTGAAATGTGTTTTGAGATCCACCATGTCCATTTTTTGCACACTTTCATTTTGATTCACAGTCTCATTTATCCTGAGAAATTTGGCATTAACATTTAAATAATAGACAAGTTGTCTTCATTCCTAGAGATGAATGCTCAGAAGTCTATATTCATATTTCTTTACAATTGAAACAAACATTGTGTGCACTCAATTGCAGCTATTTTTCCATACAAAATTAGCTGTTTGGCTATGCTGAAAAATGTCTTCTTTAAAGTCTTATTTAAATTAAATGTGTCAGATTAGAATCCTTTAAGAACCAAAAGATGCAAGACTTTTCTTCTGCTCAAAGTGCATAGCTCAGAAAGAACAAGAACTTGAAAAATGTGTGCATGTATATAATTATTATGCCAACCCAAGAGAGAAAATTAATCACAAGATGTTAAAATACAAAATTACCCAAGATACTCTTGTCTCTTTTCCATCTGGTATTCAGGATGTACAAAAAGAAAAGAGAATTGTGAATGGTTGTTATATTTCAAAATTCAAAATTCAAACCTTTATTGGCATTGCAAGGTTGTTATATTTTAAATGGCAAAATGCCTTTGAAATTATTGAATTGACAGTATGATAAGAGCACTGATCTTTATTAAAACATACCTATTTGTATGCAATTTTTCCTAATGCACAGATTTTCTGCAGACTATTTTCCCTGATATAATGCATTTTCATAAATTATTTTAACTGTTTCTCTTTGTGTATTTGGCAGAAGAACTGTATTCTGAACTTTAGGGAAAAATAATTTTCTGAAGGCAATAGATTGTTGGCTTGAGTACTTATTCAAAAGTTCACACTAAAATCCCCCATCCCTGCTGGAAAGGAAGCATGCTGCTAATAATTATAAATATAAACTTAACAGTTCCTCACAATCAAAATCCATTGAGTAAGAGTTGCCTGTCATTGCCAAGTGAATTTCAACTGCCTGCCTTAAGGCAACTTTTAGCAAAAATGTTTCAATAGGTGATGATAAAGTTGTCATGGTAACTAAAATAGTTAGTTGGACTATTCTTCCTGCAGACAATACACCTGAGAAAATCAAATGCTACAGAAGCTGAGGAAGGCAGCTTCTTAGCTATTTTCTTCAAATGTTCTGAACCACCCCAAACCAAACTAATGTCTTCACTGTTCAGATCTACCCTAATTTACATCCACTTTATATAAGGCTCTAACCCAAGAGTGCAAGAAGTGTTGTTATTGAATTATCTGTAAGCATCCCTACTTTGGCCCACCAAAGCCTCTTCAAGAGCGGATATGGCACAAAAAAAAAAGAAAAAAAGTGTCACTTCTTACAAGACATCAATTCACTCTGTAAAATGCCTGAAACCCTCTCCCAGAAGAGATTCTGTCACCATCCACTTCTGCCATGTGCCTCTCAATACCTATAAAAAGCCTGGTGTAACCTTGAACCAATAGAAGTTAGGTCTCTCTGCTCTAGAAGGCTGAAGTTCCTGAATGTATAGGTCATCACCGTGTCCCATTACAACAATCTCTACTCCCTTATTGAATGTCAAATAGTGGATGACTCCACAAAGTTTATTTTTAGGAATGAAGTTTATAATCTCTTTTGAAATGACTAACTAGCCAACTTAAATTATCAGTGGTACCTATTGCACTAAGAAACATATTTATACCTAGTCAAAGAAGGTTTCAAAATGTGTAACTGTAACTGAGGCAAACACATAAGCAGCTCATATTTGTGCCTTTCCTCTAATCTTATAGCCATGGACTTCTACTGAGGAGACTTCAGAAGATGGATAAGCATGGCATTAGGGTACAATGTACTCCTTTAGGTTTAAGGAGATTGTGAGCTATCAGATGGTTTTCTTTTCATATTTTTGTATAGACCAACCTGATCCACACTAAATTGTGCTTTGTGTTTATTGTTATGCTATCTATTCCATTTGTGAGATAGAGCAATAACTGCATTTTTATTGCATAAAACTGGTATTACCTATCTTAGTGGTTATGATAAAACTTAAATTGTCCTCTAAAATGTGGAACTGGTTGAACTGGCTGTGAAGTATGCCAACAATAATCCTGTGCTCTAATTCTTACATTGCATCTATATTACATCAGCAGAAATGGTGATTCTAGTTTTTAAAAATATCTTAGAACAGTAGATACAAGTTAGAAGTCATTGACAATGCAATCCTGTGCAAGTTTATTCACAGTAGATCCCATACAATGGAACTTACACTCAAGATCACTCCAGTCATTCTAAGGGACAAACTACATGATACTTATATGGGATTGTTAAGTATAAATGTAATAGGTAATGTTTACTTCTTCAAGTGTTTAACTTTACATAGAAGGAAAGGGAGCAGGAATGGGCTTTCTAATTCTACTACTACTGTGGTTCCTTCATTTCTTTCCCTTCAATTTAAAACTCTGGAAAATCAATGTTCTCAATTCTGCAGAGAACCTCTATAGTTAGTGGAGGTTCTTGAGTGCAAAAAATCATCATTTATATATGGAGGGTAATGAGGATAATGACAAAAGAGGATAGAACCAATATGCTTGTACCTATTGCTTCTCTTTGTAAGGGGAAATTATACGTTTTAGAAATCACTAAAATAGCTAAGGATGTATAGCCATTCTGCTGCTTGTCAAATGCTGCAGGGGTCTCTGTAAATTAAATGTAAATATGCACAATCCTATATAAATGTATGTGTGGGGAGGCTCTACTGCTGCATTGAGAAGAATTAGGTGGTTTGGGATGGAACAGAAGATGGAACTACAGGTATACTCCTTCCTCCTTCTTCCTTACCAGCAACCAGCTAATGTCAGGTTTTCCAGCAGAGACATCTTCAGTGTCTTGTCAGGGCTACAGTCTGTTCAGCAATCCCTTAGGCATCAAAAGAGTTGGGTTGCCGGTACTGAGAAGGCAAAAGCTTTGCATGCTTTCTCTGCCCCAGACCCATACCAATCCTCATGCTCATGGCATGGAAGTTGCAGCTGGCACTTCTGGTATCTCCCCTCCTCAAAGGGTCCAGCAATTCACCCCCAATGTCAAGCTGCCTTTAGCTCTTAGTGGCAGAGCATGGATATGAGGATGAGCAGATGGGCAGAGAGGGATCTCATCTAAAATGAAAACCAGAGTTATAGACTATAAGCAAGTGACATTTAATGTCTCTATGGGATACCTCAGAGTCTTTGTCTGCATTAATAAGGGACAGAGATATACCCCTCCCCAATCAAATGAACAAGGAATTTTCACAAGCTCCTTTCAGCACACTGCTAAAGATTGGGAGCTAGTTGGCATAGGATTGCACTGTGAAAGAGTAAGGAAGTTGTTTATAATCATTATTTTTAGCAATAGATATTATGAGTACAATGCAGGAAAAATTACAACTTCCTGAAAACAAATTTTCACATATAAGCCATGTGACCATCCTTTACACAAAGGCAAACATCTGATAATAGAAAATTAGTACGTCTGCATTAAATGAGCATGGTTTCTTCCCCTGAAATCTAATTATCTATTCTCTAGAAAATAGCTATTTATGTATCTGGACATAATTACATAGGAGGAATTCAAAGTCATGAAGTACCTATGAAGTATTTAACTAAGAAACAGGCTACAATTCCAAGAGAGCGATTCTTAAATGTATTGTGTCAACCACTTTAACCAACTGTACTTTTGGTACAATTTTATAAGAATGAACTGATCACTTTAAGCCCCATTTACTTTTAACAAGATTTAATTACAACCAACTTTTTTCTGGGTTGTTTTCCATGACAATCTGCTATAAAATCTAATTTGACTCGATGAAATCTCCAAAACTTTCAGATAGTCGTTTGGATAATAAATATTGCCATGTACACAGGATTCTCTTTGGAACCAGATGGTTACTACACAACAATTCCAGATGATCAAAAAATTGAAATAGATAAGTATTGTTTCTGAAATACAGTGCTTCTACTGTGTCTGACTGAATATGTACCTATGTGTAGAGTCACTTGTTTATTGTTTTGACCTTAGTATGCAATAACGATACTTACAAAACAGAATTGGTTAATAAAATAAAACTTCTTAATAGCTTTTCTTTACAAAACAGAGTGATTTATAATAAGCAAGTTACAGATCAGGGCAGAATAATATTTCAAAAAACTGGACTGTATTACAAAGCATTTTTTTCAAACATCCATTTGTGTTGGATTATTGCTGAAAGATACTAGTCAATCTATTTCAGAAATTTCTCAACTAATTTACAAACATCCATAAAATAGTGAAAAAATTGCATGCTCTAGAAACCTGGTACATTTTCATGCCTCTGGACTAAAAAGATGAAGACGATAGCAAATGAATAACATTTTAAAGATAGCTACGTGTTATTTACAGAGTCTTTTCATTGATTTCAGCTGACTCCTCAGCATTGTTTTCTTTTCTCTCAGTTGATTTGTTGTTTTCTGGTTTAATCCATGGAGGACTGTGTGATTTCTGTGGGTATAATGAAGAAAACACAATCAATATTAAAATGTTACAATGGGACTTGCAAGGAATGGAAGCATAGGTTTTACACCAATGAATAAGGTGGATCTGCTTCAAAGGGAAACTATCCAATGAGGTCCCCTTGAAAAGCAAATAAATAGATTAGCAAGTCTGTCATAGCCAGTAAGGGATATTTCCCTTGGAGAAGAGGTGTAAGGAAAAAAAAAATGTTTGGTTTTCATAGAGGTAAACAGAGGAAAATTATCAGGTGCCTAAACCTTCCTAACTAAAAATAATTCCATATTTGCTTGCTCACCTATTGACCAGCCATGATGGTTGATATAGCAAAAATAATGCAATGAATTGCTACCATTTTTTCAGGTCTGACTAGCCTGGGGAAAGAAATATGTGACTAAATAAGGCAACAAATTGTACAGATGGTTTGCCTGAGTAGAGAACAAAGCAGTTGAAAATGGAGCACAATGAGAACTTATACGCCTGGGTTGTACATTCATGTACAGAGGAATCCACAGTAACAAGACAATATAATAAGTATGCAGATTTCCTTCTCATTAAATAACTACACACCCTAATCTGAGAATTGTTCAGGAGGAAAGTAATACAGCAGGGTTTTCCAGAGAATGTCAACTCGTTGGGAAAAAATGGGTGAGGGTAGAAAATCTAGAATCACTCCTATTTTCTAATACAATCCTATGCATTTGGTATACTGTTGGATTGCAGCAGAGAAGGAACAGGATTGCTTTGTTATACTGTGTTATTGAGGAGCTCTATATTTTTGTTAATATAGGCAAGATAAGGCAGACAGATGTGTACTGTCTAAAATTCATAACAGGGAATAACACAGAGAAGAAAAAATATGCAACCTTGTTGCATTTATTTATTTATTTATCAAATTTGTCACCGCCCATCTCATTGAATGACTCTGAGTGGTTTACAACAAAAATAACATGATCATCTGTAACATTTGGGTTTCCATATTATCTATTAGATTATGGTACAGTACTCCCAAATGTCTTGGTGTGTGGAAAAGTGTTTAGGAAGAATATAAGGCTAAATTTATTTCTCTAGAAAGATGAAGATGGAAATTGCAATAGCTTTGGAATATAGAGATGGGATGTCCGGTGTGACAAATCACTGATCTTCTAATTTAAAGGATGCAAAATATGTTTCTAAATATCTGAGAACAGCATCATCATTTTAACCACACATTGAAATATTGGATTCTGTTCTTTATAGCCCTGTGCAGGGTACAAAATAGAATTTCTGAGAATGTGGTCCTGAACTTCCCAACAGCCTAAATTTGTCTTCCAGGACTGATTAACTACATTTCCCAATACCACTGATGTCAATGTGGACCATGACCTCTACTTCCTCCCCAACACTCTCCAGAAACCTGCCTGATGTGAAGGTTGCGATGTCTGCAACCTTCACATCAAGCAGGCATATCAACATGTGATCCATCACAAGTCTATGTCTCAGTGATTCTAATGTTTGGATTGTCCACAACCAAAAGCCCCCTCCTTCTGGAGCAATATTTTTGGTACAAAATGATGTGGGTTACTCCAGCAAAGTAATTCTTATGTAGTTATGAATGCCCTGTCTTCTGGCTTCTAAATTTTTATCCAATAGTGATTTCTGTAAATTAAAACAGGAACATATTGGCAAACTCAACTGTAATGCATTCGCAATAAATAAAAATACTGGATTATTTCAGCTAAAAAATACCGGATTATACTAGCATCAGCTAATATGGATAATGAATAAAAAGCTATGATAGGAGGGGCTTAATCTTAATTCTTCCTGCACTGTCTTCTTCCTACATTAACACATATTCCTGCATCAACACATTTGTCTTAAATCATGTGAGCTGTAGATTAGAAATGAGATTTCAGACAAAACAAAATAAAACAAAAAACTTCAGAGGATAAAAATAACAGCACAGAGAATGATTTCTCTTTCAGACCTGATGATTCAGAACAAGGGGAAAAAAGAAATTTAACTTTGATGATCAGCTCAGAACATATAGAAGGAACAAGATTCATACCTGCGTACTTGGATCTGTTACATTACTCTGGTTTCCTAAACAAGTGCTGCCAGTCTGAAAAGTGGAAAAAAATAGTATTAGACAATCATCCCTAATTTAGAAATCAATAATTCATAAACAATCAACTTGTGTTCTTAAATGCATATTCCTGTTTCAGAACATATCTGCCCATCTTTTCTTCCACATTTGAAGCAAAGGTATGAATGCAAAGAACAGAAAATAAATATGCATCCAAGCACCTCTCCATGGCATGAAGATATATTTATTTTCTGTAAAGCTATTAAACTGTGTAAATGTTCTATATTCTTATAATGATACAGAAAACATCTCAGAGAATTTTTAAAAAGTATTTAATTACAATATTGATTGTTTAAAAAGAGATCTGAACAGATTATTTTATGTGACATAATAAAAGTCAGGATAAAATGGAGACAAAACATACCTTTATGTAATAAAAAAATATATACATTCAAAACACTTTTTTAAAAAAGCAAAGGCAGGTTTCTCTTGCAGCATTTTTAAACTGCAGATTGTGTTGAAATGATGAAAAGATGCAAACTTTTTCTGTTTGTCCCTGGTGACTCTCAATTGCCATAAGCAGCACTGGGAGATTACACTCTGCAGATCTTACTTGTGAACTTCCCAGAGCTATCTTATTGGCCTCTGATAGAGAAGAAAATATTGGATAAGGTGAGTCAATATTTTGATTCAGCAGAGCTCTCTGGACTGATAAATCATATTCTATCAAAGAACTCTGGGTAGCTAACAACAGATAAACAAATAACAATACAAAAAAATTAAAAACTCCCTTACAGCACCAAGCACCATAACAGTCCCATCCCAAAACTACAAATGCTGGGCTGTTCTCCTGACCTAGTGTTGGGAGTGGCGGGGGGGGGGGGGGGGGGGGG